TTCACATGGCATTTTTACATAGATTTCTAAGTGTAGAACTTTTATATTAACATTGCATTATGGCTGTTTATGTGCCTATTTCTTCTCCCTTGCCCTGGTTCTAGGATTCTCAAACCTAGAGATTATGCCTTAGTCTGACTGGACTTAATTTCAATATAAAATGTATTGCCATATAAATACTTAAATTTTGTTCTTAACCTTTTATTAATAAGAGATGTTAATATAAGAATATAGAAATAAAGCTCAAAAATAAGCATTAGTTAACATTTTGGCCCGAAAGACTTGAATATACTTGAATCTCAAAACTCCCCACTTAAGAAATTCCTTGTGATATGAGACAAGAATAGTTGTAATTCTTGCCAAATCCCCCAAAACTATGCAAAAAAGATTTTCTCCTAAGAAATTTAAATGATTCCTTTAAATGCAAGTTTTGTCCAAGGTGGTCTAAATTTTTCACTTAGTAGTCTTGTGTTGATCTTTAAAATAAATTATATTCAGAATGTGGCCTGTACTAATTTCAAAATTAGTTATTTGTGAACAGTGGCATTCTTCTTAAATTTGCTTAGTCCATTGCATCATATTAGACATACCACATTTAAAATGACATTACAAAGTATGTTCTAATGAATTTTGGTCCCATAAAAGAACTTTCAAAAGATTCCAGGATCAAATAAGTTTTAGAAATGATACAAAATGATATTCAGTGCTCCAATTGGAGATTAATCACAATAATTTCTACAAAGTCCTGCTGTTAAAAAAAAAAAAAAAAAAAGAGGGTTTTTTTCCCCCTTCCCAAGTCTCTCAAATTTACGAACTATGAAATCTCAGAAATGTCCATTAACATCTCTAAGAACTTGGGTGATTTATTGTATAGATCAGCAATATTTATAGCAGGGTTCACAAAACCTTCAAGATATCTGAAGAGGGGAATGGAGGTAAGCAAGGTTAAGGGTAATCAATTTCCAGATCCTAAACTTCCATGTTTATTTGGTCTTTGCTGACACTGAATTCCCTGATAAAATGGGCCTGTGCATAAACCCACATGCTTAATCTTATTTCTCATCTCCCCTTTCACAATCATCAAAGATGTTAGCAAGGAAAGGTTTCTTTCTAATCCTATGTAGAAATTTTTCTATGATGAAATGCTCCAGGGGGTAAAAATCTATTAGGAGCCAAATAGACCAAAGTGAACATTATAACTCTAGTAATACAAACGAAGAGCCAGGTTCTATTCTAAATTTATAAACATTTCTTGCAACAAAGAAGAGTAATTAAAATATCAAGCAAGAAACCATTACATTAAAGTTGAAATGGAAAAAGATCTGGGAAGAAAAAGAATAATATAAAATTTCTGATTTAAAAAAGCTTCATTTTTTAAATTAATGGTAGCTATTATGTTGAATATTTTTGACATGTTTTTAAATATGCTAAAAAATATATCCTTATAATTATTTAAGCTCATGATAAAAATTTTATGTCAGTTTAGAAATATTTAAAATGATAGTTTTTCAAAATTTCTTTAGGAGTATGCAATAGAAAATTTGAGGACCATTGTTGGGCACAGTGGCCCATGCCTATAATCCCAGCAACTCAGAGGCTAAGGCAGGAGGATTGCAAGTTCAATGCCATCCTGAGCAACTTAGCAAGATGCTGTCTCAAAAATTTAAAAAAGGTGGGGGGGCTAGAAGTATAGCTCAGTGATAGACTGTCCCCGAGTTCAATCCCCAGTACCACAAAGAACAAACTTTTAAAAAAAGAACTATTGGTGTATCTTCTCAAAAGTTCAGGATACTTTCATGATTTAGACTAATACAAAAAAAAAAAATTACTGGAAATTTTTAAGCTTTCCAGATGTATGATTGATTTTGAAGTAGTTATCCTTCTTAGACATGTCTTCCAGATCTCCTAAAACAGCAAAATATTTCATGACAAACATTTGGTTTTCCTTCAAGTTTTTCTGAAGGTTTTAGACATCCAGCTTAGTTAGCTAGATAGGTTGGCATAACTTTTGCAATGCATGAGCCATCAGAACTATTATCTCTAGGAGAAATAACAAACTTTTAAAGTTTGGGAGGAAAGAAAGAAGGTGATGAGTTAACCCTGCTTTTTTTGTAAGCATTAACGTAAGAACAGTTTTACTTCTGCAATTTAATATGTTTTTTTTTTCTTAGAAGGGGCCTTGACAATCTGCATCATTTTTTACTTTGCCATGGCATAGTTTTCCATTCTACAGATATTTCATAATTTATTTAACCTTTGACCTAATAGTGAACATGTAGGCTCATCTGTTGCTCAGCATTTTGCTATTCAATGTAATGCTTTAATGAACATGCTTATTATCTTTATACACTTGTGTTATTGTTTTTTTTTGGGGGGGGGGCTGATTACTAGGAGTAGAAAGTTTGGGTCAGAAAATTTGTTTACTTTTAGTAGATACACAAAATATCCCTCTAAAAATATTGCTATTACAGAATTCTCTCTCCCCATACTTTCTCTTGATGTGTGGATACTGTCAGACTTTTTACATTTTGCAGTTTCACAACACAACACATGCCTATAGTCCAACCCACAAAAACAGTCTTTGCTTAAGAGTCACCTTAATGAGACCATTAATTTTCCTATTGAAATAACCTCCTCCACTATATCTGAATCCCTTTAAAATATTTTGTTTTTCAATAGCAGTTACAGTTACATAGTATTCTTTTGCTTCTCTTACCTTACTCCAGGCTGTAAGTTCCAAAAGAGCAAAAGCTTTTGCTTTTTTGTTTTGTTCACTGATTAACAAAACATGTGCCTGGCACATGGTAGGCACTCATTTATTGAATTGAATGACCATTGTAGTTGTATGATACACATAATTTCAGCCATCACTGTGATATTTCTCTTTGATCATGTGTCCCTGGTTTTATATACATCTCACATAACCACTCCTCTCTGAGGAGCAGCCACAATTCCTTCAAACATACTATACCAGAGAAAACACCTATGTTTGGCTAATAGCAGACCACCTGGGAGAAGGAAATAAATGCCTTTTCCTATTCTGGACTCCAAGAGCAGTTAATTATCAAAATAGTACAGCCCAGCCAGTGCTAGCCATCCAACTACCATCTTGCTTATTTTAGCCCTTCCCATCCTGCTTCTCTCCTGCCAATGCCTAAGGGGGTCTAGGGAAAAGATTCATCCCTAGTAGAAACCACTTAGGCAAGTGATGGCACTGGATCTTCCCCACACCAGTCCCAACCCACTCCCTGCCAGTCCTTTGGCCCACACCCTTTCCATTAACAATGGCATCTTAGTCAAACCAAGCACTGAGGTTTGGTAGAGCACCAAGTTTCATTGTTTTTTCTTCAGGCCAGATTTTAGATGTGAAAGAGGCATAGAAAACAGGGTAATTTAATTATGAGTTGGAGTTGCTCACTACATGAAACAATTAAGATTTTAAGTATTTTTTTTTTTTTTTTTACCATTTTAGTATTTTGGTGACAAATATAAAAACATTTAGCTGGTATTTACTTCACCTTTATAAATATCTGTAATATATCCTTTTTAGTGGCAGATCATGTCAGATTTGTACTAAATAAGGGCCTAATATTTTCATTGTGATATCTTTACTGAAAAGTTTAGGTATTGTTTTTGATAGCTGTATTCAAAGCTGATCAGGAGTCTTCAGTGTTATTAACTTTCAGCCTAACATGGACAAAAAAAGGTAGTGACCATTAGGTAATACTGAAAGGCCTAAGTAATAAGAAAATTAATATAGAATTGTACATCCTAAGGAAATTGCATACTTACCTCATAAAATGAGTTGGTTTATTCCAGGCTTAGGTCCATTTCCCACTTCATCTTCTCTCCCCAACAACAGTATAAAGTTTGATGAAAAATTTCATGAAAGCAAATAGAGGCTCCTCAGGAACTTAAAGACATTTCAGAATAATTATTTGAACAAGAGATGGGAAGAAACTTGGAGGATGGAGAGTAGGAAGCTTTTATTAGGCACGTCAAAGTAGTGGAGTGGGAATGACAAAAGACCAGAAGCAGTTCACTTGATTATAATTTACAGTGGGTGGAAAAGACGGGCATCAAGCCAGCATCACCACTTCATAAATAATAAATCTTTCTCCTGTAGTGGTGATGTTATGAAAGATGTATGGTAAGATTGCATCAGTATGGTGAAACATCACTAAAAGGGTGGGACTGTCTGGAAAAGCATCTGTATTTGGAAAGGGATCTTTCTACAACTTGTCCAGAACACCTTGAATATAAGCTAGGATGTAACATTTGGAGCAAATGTTATTGGCCACACTTGGCATGTATGCTGGATATTCATAACTATATTCAGGCTGGTCCTTGAGTCATGTAGTATGCCTATATTAGAAGAGTAAACTGAACACACTCACTTCTGTTTAGAAGCCAAATTACTGTGTTGCTCCCTTAAAAGATTGTACCTGTGTATGCAGTAACATCCTTAGGATGCTTTTCATTTGTAGAAGGTTTAGAAGTAGAAACCAGCTGTTAACTACTAGGAAAAGTGGCAATGTTAGGAAATGTTCACCTACTACTTCCTTTCCTACCTACCTGCCTGATTCATGTATCTTTCCATTACTAGTAATGTTTTTTTGTATCTTTCTCCATCCAGGGAAAGACTATCATTAAATCAAGATGGCTGCATGTAAATGTCTTTTCCTCAGCTGTTTATTAATCATCTTAATCTAAAAAACAAAGCTCTACCAATATTTCCCTACCAAGGGAAAATTTCAAATATTCAGCCTTCCAATTAACACCACCACTGACTAATAAAAACTGACAAGACCTAGACGCTTCTATAAACTAACCTTGTTTGAATGAAAAGAACCACAGAAAATAGAGACATTATGCAAGGATAGGGAAGTCCACATTCTACAGAAATTGTGATTTTACTCTTTAAACTAAAATAGAAATGCCTCAAGTAATATACTGGAATATATTTTTGAATACTATTAATAATTGATTTCTCATTGAAGGAAAAAAACGTACTGTATCCAACAATTCAAATATGGCCGAACTGAAGTCAATGTTCCGGGAAGTTCTTCCAAAACAAGGTATCTGCGTCAGTTACTTAGGTCATTATTATAGAGACCTAGAAAGTGATAGTCATTGTCACATAGCAGTGTTAATATTCTAAACACCTACCAATTATTGTGTTCTTTATATCTCATTTACTATCCCCTTTACTGTATACTCTGAGTAGGTTGTACAGGAATTCACTTTTCCCAGTAAAAGAAAAAAAAATGAAGCAGATTCTTATACTTAGAAATATGAAATTTTTCAGTGGAAGTAATAACTTAATGGAATTCACATAAGTAAGGTCTGCAAGTGGGGGGAAAAAACCTAAATCAAGCAATAGTAAGAAAAGTTTAAGGCTGAAGTTAAAAATGCAGCAATTTGAATATTTGAAAATTAATATCATACTTTGGTACATTTTTGTTCATTGTGTATATTCTCCCAAATTGTATTTCAAATTAAACATCTGACACAAAAAGGTATGTTTTATGGTAACTTAGAACCTTGCATACAAAGTTCAAAACTTGTCTTCCTTCACACACCAATATTAAGAAATGGTACTTATAGAATAGACTTATCTTTCTGGTTACAAGCAAAACACAGTCTAAGATTAGGGGTTTTTCAGTGACAGGTTTTTAGATCTTTATTCTAGCTGCTAATCCAAACCACCTAACACCTGGATTATCTTCCTCAAAATTAATTCTTATTTCTTGTTAAATTTAGGGCAGTTGTCTGTGGAAGATGTAACCACAATGGTGCTGTGTAAACCCAAACTTTTACCCTTAAAATCTCTGACTCTGGAAAAACTGGAAAAAATGCAGCAAGCAGCACAAGATACAATTCACCAACAAGAAATGGCAGAAAAAGAACACAGCAGCAAATAACCCATTGATGAAAACTTATCATAGGGAACCACCCTACCTTGCCTACTTACCTACCACTTAATAACTAGAAAATATTTCTGTATCTGTATGCTGAAAGTGGTATTTAATAAAACTGGTAACATTCATGTTCATATAAATGAAAATAAAATCCCCAAGACTGATAAAACTTGTGAATTTAAATAGTGATTTCTATTTGACCACAGTTAAAACTTTGAATTTTCTTTTACTTGTTTTTAGAATTGCAAATTGTTCTTCATTCCTACTGCTATCAGTTTTTTAATTATTGACACAAGTAACTGATTTTTAACTTTTATATACAAAAGATCTTTACATGTTTATTAAATACCGGAATTTGAAGATACCTTCTAATCTCAAAAGTATTTATTTGGGGCTTATACATCACCTAATTTAAAAATTTTTAACCAATTGTGTGTACCATATCATGTTTAATACTATCTTTCCTGACCAGAATGACCCTACCATAACCAAACTGGTTTCTTCACCTATTCTATAATCAGCTAGGCTTTTAATTATACTAATTTTAAGGACTAAAGAATTACATTACTACCTTTATCGTCCAGCTATCAAACCCAATTAAAAGCCTGAAATTGCTTATGACTATATAAGTCTGAGAAATACAGGCTTGAAAGACATGAGGTAAAAAGCTGTACCTAAAACTGTTAATATGTTGCTAAGAATAGTCTTTGTAAATTATTACTAAAAAAAATCCTTGGTTTGCTGCAGTCGATAGGCAGTTTAAATTATTGTAGACATTGAGGCCTTGTTGAGCAATTACGCTCTGTGAAACAGAAATATGATCATTCTTTAGATAATTATTTATTGGCAGCTAGGTGTTTTTTTTCCCCCCAAACCATCGGTAAATGTAAAGCTTTCAGTCATTGGAGAATAATTTTGTGTAAGCATACCATTTATTTTATATATATATATACGTGTGTGTGTGTGTGTGTATGTATGTGTGTGTGTATATATATACACACACACATATATACATATATACACGTATGTATGTATATATATATACACACATATACACATTAAATTTCAATAAGCTGTAGATAAGATCAATAAATTATGCATGCATTTTTCCCCATTATAATCTTAAAAGTATTGTACTTTTGACTTAAATATTTGCAAGTTAAAAAGTTTGTGAAGAATATAGCTTAAATTCCATAGCCCAAATGTACATCCTTGTATGGTTTGATATTTGCTGCATGAAATTAGAAAGGGTTTTATGTTTTTGTTTTGCTGTGCTGAGGATCAAACTCAGGGATAAGAAATTTAAAAAAATTTTTAAAGACCAAAAATAAATCTATTCCCAATAAAGAATCAACACTGCTTCACATGTTTTATTTTGTTGTACATTCTTGTAAAACCGGGATCGTTTTTTCCAGTTTTGTAGAAAAATAGATGTTCCAGCCACCATTTACTTAACTGTCTAGTCTTTAAGACCAATCAGTATGTTCCCTGGAAAGATGAATAAGTCTCATGACTAACCCATTTTTTAAAAAATTCTTTAAAACAAATAACTTTTTTTTTTTTAACTCCCAAAGCACAGTATTTCAACAGCAGCAGCCAACATGGGGTTTTAGCAGCTTAACTTTGCCCCCTAAATAAAGCTTTGTATAAACCAGTGATTTTACTACAAAAAACACTGTCTTTGAAAGAAAGGAGTGAGTGGCAGTCAGACATCAATGCAAAACTTGGAATGATTAGGTCATAAACATGGCACTTACAAAAAGTAGCTTATTAGAATATTCCACGTAAGTGGACATTTTTCTGTCCCTCCTTTATCACCTCAAAAATTAAAAAAAAAAAAAAAAAAGAAAAAGAAAACACTTCCTTTAAAAATTCCCCTTAAATGTAAGTTTATAAAATTTCAGTAAAGAAATGCCTTGTACCCAAAACAAGTGCTTAAAAAAAAACTAATAACTCTTACAATTCAGATACATATTTTTTTATAACATCTAAGACTGCAAGAGTTCTTATATGTTCTTATATTCAGTAGCTCTCTGGTTTAAGGCGACCTCCATCTCCTTCGCTTACAAAACGCTTTCTGCCCCTGTAATGAAAAATAAAAATATGAAAGAGACAAACTGACTATATTTAATGAAAAAAATGGAAACTTTGAAGGGTTTTATTGTTAATGAAAAGGTCAACATGTCTTGTTTTGAAAGACTTTTTTTTCCCTGCTACACATCTTATCATAAAATAGCAAATGACAGCAAAACCTGAGTAGTTTTGTTTAAAAGCTTATTTATAATTTTTTTAAATATATTTATTCATTTATTTTTATGTGGTGCTGAGGATCAAACCTAGTGCCTCACACGTGTGAGGCAATGGCTCTACCCACTGAGCTACAGCCCCAGCCCTTAAAAGCTTATTTATTGAAATAAGTTTTATTATCTAACTGGAGTTATATTTTTAAAGTTAAAATAGAAAACTAAGACAAATATTTTATTTAGAATATTTATTTCTGTTACATTATAAAAGCTAAACTAAGCCAAATACGAAACACTAATAATGTAATTGAGAATTACACATACTAGAAATATGGAACTTATCACACTATCCATTGTAACTTAAATTTTTTAAAAAACTTTTTCTCAGCTATAGAAAACCCATAACCTGAATGTGGAAAAACCAATCAATCCAGTTAACTCTAGGTTATGCCCCGTTTTGGGATTCTTGGCATTTCAAACTCAAGAAGCCCTTCCCTATAATGTGACCACACTCCAGCTATAGGTAGTAGCAACAGTCCAAGAGGAATAACTAGCCAGCAACCTAAAGCAGTAAAGGGAAAAGAGATCCCATGAAAAATTAGCCTTTACTCTCGGATCCCAACTAACACACATAAACATGCAAGACCATTACAAATGTGCACTTAGCCCAAATAAGCAAAAGGATAAGAGGATAAAAGTCAAAGTTGTTGGGAATACCCTGAAAATTTAGGTATCTCCTAAAATGACCCTCAAGAGTAAAGCCATAATAGAAATCAACATTTTCAAAGAAGCTGAAAAACTTAAAAAATAGTGGTATTGACCCCTTTTCACACTTAATTGTGGCTAAGTGGAAACCAGCCACATTTTATTGAATATAAAGGCTTTACACTATATACTATGAGATTTAGGTAGGGAAATAAAGAAGTAAACACCAAGAAATCTTGCCAAAGTTGAGTGATTTTACTGATGCCATTTGGCATGCCAGTACATTTATGAATGGTGCCATCATAAATGAAGGTCGACATTTCTAAACATTTCTGTCAAAGCCATTAAACTCAATCTTTTGCTGGGCACAGTGGTGCACACCTATAATTCCATTGGCTTAGGAGGCTGAGGCAAGAGGATCTTGAGTTCAAAGCCAGCCTCAGTAAAGGTGAGACACTAAGCCACACAGACCCCATCTCTGAATAAAACACAAAATAGGGCTGGGGATGTGGCTCAGTGGTCTAGTGCCCCAGAGTTCAATTCCTAGTGCCCCCAAAATAAATAAATAAATAGATGGATAAATAAATGAACTGAATCTTTCACCATTTTTTTTCCTTCTCTCGTAATGGCTTCTAAATTTTCTAAAGCAAACGACCATAAGAGGAAATACTTTTTGAAATTCAGTTTTCACAATGCACTTCAAAGTTCAGAAATTTTTTCAGATTAAACAATTACAAAATATTATGTAAAATGCAAGCAAATTAGTCTATTACTAAATGTACCTATTATATCATAAGTGTCATTAACAAAAATCCCTAATTCAAGTTACATCTTATTAGAATTACCTCCAAAGAAAAATACCCCTACATACACACACGCACAGGTGCGTGCGCGCGCGCACACACGCATGAATACCCACGAACATACTTTCTAACAATTAGCCTCAGTTCTTCATCCTATAATAAAGCAAAGGAAGCCACACAGTATGGAAAAGAGCCTAAATCTTTGGAGCCTGAAAATATCTGAAATCATATTTGTCCTCTACCATATACTAGTCATGTGACCTTAGAAAAGGTACAGTATACTTCCATAAGCCTCAATTTTCTCTCTTGTAGGTGATGATACCTACTCTGAAATAACATTTAACTACTTAAGAGTCTGGTACAACACAGAAGTGCTCCACAAAATTATTCTGCTTCAAACACTGGTGCTTCATGAAGTAGTCCTATACACACATACAAGGGGACAAAACAAGCTTTACCCTTGTTTCTCTAAAAACTCAAAACATGGTTCTTGCTCTTCAATCACTTCAGGGAAGATACTATTATTTTTCTGAAAGCTGTAATGACAGAAAACTCTTAGCTTAACCTTCCCAAGCACCTCATACAGGATTTTATATTGAGATAGTAGTATTTAAATAAAAGTACCTTGAAGGACAAAGATCTCTTAGTTGTTTGGAAATAATTCCTGCCTGAAAACATTCTTCTACAAATCTCTCAAGCACAGAGTATGAATGTGGGACATCCAGGTTAATGTCCGGAATTTCATTATAAATTCTTTCATAACCCTGAAACAATGAAATTATGTACAGAATTGTTAGTCCATATAAAACACATGTCATAAGACAGTAGAATGAATAGGACATTACTTTCCTATATACATATATGATTACACAACCAATGTAATTCTGCATTATGTTCAATCAGAAGAATGGAAAGTTATATTCCATGTGTATCATATATCAAAATACATTCTACTGTCATGTGTAAGTAATTTTTAAGAACAAATAAAAAATACATGTCATGAAACAATCCATCACTATGTCATCAATCTATATTTAAGGCCAAATGTTTATGCTGTAAAACAAGTCAGATTTGAATTTTGAAAAGTAAAGTACATTTCTTACAGAATATTTTCTTTAAAACTTTTCTCAAAAGAGCTGCAAATAAACAGATAAAATCCTTGTCTATTTATCTATATTTACTACCTTTTCAAAAACTCAAGGCAGATTAAAAAACATCAACCAAATTTCAATAACACAATTTTAAATAGGAAAAAAGTATAATTTGTTAAAAGTTCATGATTTTTTGGGCTGGGGATGTGGCTCAAGCCTGACATGTGTGCAGCCCGAGTTCGATCCTCAGCACCACATACAAACAAAGATGTTGTGTCTGCCGAAAACTAAAAAATAAATATTAAAATTCTCTCTTTCTCTTTAAAA